TTCTAACTGAATCTATCTGATTGTGTCTTAGTGTCTTGACATATTGGAGATAACACATCTTTGTCCAGAACTTTACGTGTGCCACCTCTGCAGTGTTTGCATTTGTAAATTGCATTTGATTAGGCTCTTGTCATGCGGTTTGCTAGCAGGTTGCTGTTCAGCTTGGGGCTGAACTTGTTTGCTTGCCTTGTATTAGTAATAGCAAGGAATTCTAACATTGACAGTTTGTGGTGTGGCATGACAAGAACAACATAGAAAGAAAAGAAGAGAGAGAGAGAGAGAGAGAGAGAGAGAGAGGAGAAAAAAAAAAGCATCTTGTAGTTTTGCAGGCCGCAAGTCCTTTGTTCGGTCATGCTACGTAGTTTAACCCTTAAGGGTTAGGGGTTAACTGTAAGACTAACGTTTGTTTACAGTGCTTTGCTCAAATGTCACTCAATTCTATTATCGTCCGTGTATTCTTTCCACTGCCTGCGGACAATCAAGTAGCAGCATAATTATCGGGTGTCGGAGTGCCAAACACTACTTTTAAGAGCATTCTACGCTGATATGTGTGCTGGGATTTCAAGTCAACGGTGGTCTTTTTTCTCATCAGAAAGAGTAGTGAATGTTGAATTCGCGTTCTCAGAAGGACTAATTCTAATGCTTCAACCTTCAAGCGACGGGCTAGTTCCTGTGGATGACCGCCCGCGACAGTCGGACGCACAAGTCCCAAGCAATAGAGGGAATTTTCTATGGGAAGAAAAGGTCTCCAAACGAAAATTGTAGGGAGTACATATTTGGACATAAGAATCGCACATGATCCAAACGATTAGCGTCCACTTTGCAACTTTTTCAAGATTAGACAGCCTTGAGATGAGGTCAATATTCTCTTCATTGGTGAAAGAGGACATAACTGTTCAAGTAAGATACAGAACAGCAGACAAAAAAGAAGGAATAGAAAAAGTAAAGAGAAGTAGCTAATGCAACGATTACTCATTTCTGTCCCACTTCGTCCGATTACGGTTCAACAGTCTACTTCGCTGGAATCAAGTAACTACCGACAACCAAGGTAGCTGCAATGAATCACACAATTAATTAGTACAGTAGTAATAAGATACATACACACACATATATATATATACATGTATATTGTACTGAAATCGAGCAAGGTAGATAAATAGTAGTAGTATTTGGTAGAGTCCCTAGTGTTTTTTTTTTTTTTTTTTTTTTTTTGCTGACGGAGTGGGTGTCCGGGTCAAGACCGTAAAGGCGGCCCGACTAATCCCACTCCGGCTCGACCCAGCACCCCAACCAGAACCAAATACGATAGATGCACGGCGGTACTGATGTTGCTGCGGAGGTTCGACCCCAGGACCTGACGGTCCCGAGGAAGAGGCGCCAACCACCAGCCCATTCACGTGGGGGCGAGTCCCTAGTGTTTAATGCTTAAAATCTTGAATCTCAATCGGTCTGCTTAAATAACCTGTCCGTGTGAATTGTGATGGCTGGCTGACAAGTTTGTTGATGCCACCAAAGACAGGTAGGAGATGGAAAGAGCATAGAACCCAATAACGACCGGGCACCAAATCCCAGCAAATGCAGTTATGTGACCGACCATCCCATATTTTGACAGCCCAATAAAGGAGAATTGAATGCCGAAAATAAGTGCGCGTGTGGAGACCAGACAATTCTCATATTCAAATTAGAAAAGTAAATCAAAGAATCAGTCTAATACTCAAAACAAAACAAAAAAAAAAGGGGAGGTTTGATTCATCAGAATCAGAGAGAGAAGAAAAAATGGAGATGCAACAAGCATAAATCGCCCTTGATGAGTGATGATAGCAGTACGTAATAATTATTATTTATATGTACAGTTGTGGTGCTGTCCTTTTGACCAGTTGCCCTGCTTAAAAAAAAAAAAAAAAAAAAAAACTCTGGGAAAGTTAACAACAATGGAAGTAAACAAAAGGCGATTCATAAAAGATAATTAATCTTCTACCAAACTAAACCAGGAGATTGTCTACGTGCTGGTGTAAGATTAATCTTCAACACTTTTTTGTCTCACCCAAAGAAAAGAAAAAAGGAAAAAAAACTCTCAGAATTGAGGCCCTAGTGCCATTCAAGATGCCAAACAGGCTTCCCAGAAGTGGCGATCCTTGTCCCTTTCATCCAACTTCTTCAACTCGGCACCGCAGACCTTGAGTTTCTTCTTGTTCCTCTGCCCTGCCACCGATTCCGCTTCTGATTCTGCTGCCTCCGACTCGTCACGATTCCGTTTGAAGACCACCTCCATGTAACAATTAGCCCCGCTACTTTCAACCTCCTCATCCTCGTACTCGTCGCACAAATGTGACACATATTCTCCCGCTTCTTCTCGCTCTACCTCATCGGCGTTAGCAACATAAACCCCGGTACCCGTAGGGTGATCAAAATCGTTATAACACGCATTCTCGCAGCTGCAAGAAAATGCATCATCCTCAGCTAAACCGGCCGTCGCTTCATGACTTGATCCGGCATCATCAGCACCGTTAAAGTCGGAATCAGCCTCTGAATCGCCGGTGCTCTCGAAAAGCATGCAGGAGAAAATATCCACATAGTTAGTCCTCCAATCCATACGTGTCTCTTCCGACTCTGGAACTAAATCCATCCTTTTTTTCCCTTTTTTAAACAAAAAAGAATATTAAAGAGAGGGAGGGGGTTGGAACTTGGAGAAAGAAAAACGGCGAGACGAACATGAATGTGGGTTGTATATAAAGGCTTAGGAGGAAGGACGACGGAGTGTTCTGGGATGAGCTGTCTGTCTGGTTTGACACTCGAAAAAAGAGAGGCTATTTAGCTGTAGCTAGTGGTGCGCTGCTCATCCCATATTTGGCTCTGCAGAATTTGTACGTCCTTTGCATTTTTGCCCATGGACAATTTGGAGAATTTCTGCATTTGCTTTTTGTAGTTTGCAGTGATGATGATCCCTTGTAAAATATGATTGGTCGGTTTTGGCTTTTTGAGATGCGGAAAATTAACACTAACACGGCACCCTCGCTCCACATCTAGAAGAATTCCATGTCATACAAACCAATTGCTCCACGATGACGTTGAACCGAACCGAACCGAACCTTAAGGTTTCTAGAAGCAATAATGCAGGGAAGGAAACCCGAATCGGCGACCCTACGTGTTATTACCATCCAAGTTTGGACAAGTGCTCAAGCCCAACTCTGCCCGCAATAAGAGAACAGAAAAGGTCATCGCAATTCTTATTTTCTTTCTTTATAGTCGATCCCGAAATTAATTGCTTTAATCACTAATCTGGACTAGTCAATTTCTAAAGTGGGCAAAAAAGGATGCAGAGAGCCGGAGACTAATTCCAATGTCCCAACTAATGATGGATTATTTGCTTTGTTTGGATAGAGTATTATTTGAAATAATTACTGTAACACTTTTTATAACGTGATGTATGTGAGATAAAAAATATTTAAAAATATAAAAAAAATGAGTTAAAAAATGTGTTTATAGTGTAAGCGAAATATTATTTGGAACAATGAAATATTCAAATTAGAGCTGATTAGTTGACAGAGAATTGCTAGGAATCTTTTGTACTATTTCATTTGTACGCTCGTCGTAACTCTTACGTATGCTGTTTGTGCCTTAGATTCTTAGTTCAGTTCCCAGTTTGGTTCCGTTTACTCAAAAGAAGAACACGTTTGAGCTTGACGAAGGCTTGAACAAGTCCTGCGTATCATGACCGGCAACGGACTGAAGGATCAAACACTTCAAACTAGCACAAGATTTTATTTTTGTTTAAAAAAAAAAGGGAAAACCAAAAAAGTAGCATGCTACAGCTCCAAATTGCCCAAAAAAGTTAAATGATTAACAAAAAGAAATTCTGGGCGTAAGAAACATTGGGTGAATTCATTTCTAAATGTTCAAAAATCTTGAAAATAAGAGACTCGCCCTGTTTGATAACTCAATTTAACACTTAAACATAATGGATTTAAACATTAATATATTATGACAAAACTAATTAATTAACCAAAAATAAAATACTTAAATTAATTAAGTGACACTGAATTTTTTAGATAAAACTTGCTCTAAAATATAAATAATAAACTATTTACTTAATGTAGTTATACTAAAATGTATCAGATTTAGCACGTAACAATTCAGTAAATTAATGAATTCAGATTTTAAATTTTAATATTCGAATTTCAATTTTGTCAAACGCAACCTTACTCTATGTCTAAACTTATCTAAGAGTAGACTTTGTTCATTTTCTTGGGCGACAAAAGTCACCGTTCATGGAGAAGACCATGGTTTGCCTAGTATCTGAGTTTACTTTTAAGTTCAGAGGTGGACCACAATTACAAACACAGCTTGACCGCAAGGTGCATTCAAGGCCATTAAAGATTTGTTGGTTGATTGTTGAACGATTGCATTTTAATTGGTATTCGTTGATTATTTAAGGTTAGAATTAGCTCAATAATAATGCCTTAAAACAAAAAAAGAAAACAACTGAAGTAGGAAGACTTAGAAGAAAGCCCAAAAAGCAAAAATATCCTATACTACCATATAACATTTGACACTAAAGAAATACATATAACTATTAATCAGCGACATGCAATGTAAAGTTGCAACCCAAACGACCTCACTGGATTTCCGGGTACTCCGACTCACATGACATCCCCACCTTGTTCATTGCCCCCTGTTGTCACTTGTCACGGATCACACTTTCTTCTTTTCTTGGGCTGTCAATTCTGAGGCGTGGATAAGGTGCCAAAAAGAAGAAGAACGCTCAAAATTGTTTTCAAACAAAAAATCACCAACAAAGCACATGGTCTTTGACCCACAGGCCACGCCGTAACTCGAAATCGTCCACGCTTAGACTGCTGTCACTGGTTGGAAACCTCGTTACCGATGCTTTTGACATTTTGACGATGTATCGGCGGTAGAGGGATCACGGGCGGGGACGATTGCACCTAATGATTTTGTGTATTTTATATACCGTATAATTTTATTTGCACAACATACAATTTTAGAACGAATTTTTGTGAGTCCCACACGTAATTAAAAACAAAAAATTAAAAGTGATCTGAACCGTACAATTTTTTTGAATCAAATCTTGACAGTGAACAGCTCAAGAGCAGTGCATCTGATGACCACTCCTGCCCCATATTCATATCCGTGGTGGTAGAGAAGAACCTGTCAACTGTTACTTTTATTAGACGTACAAATACTGCAAAGGTCGTGAAACAGACCTAAAGAAGTAACATCATACTGTATGTTATATCCCAAATCTCTGAATTAAGTCGCACCATTCCAGCCAAGGCGGCTAGCGAGTATCTTCCACGTTGCTTTGTCAATTTGATTGGGCCAGCGACGAAAAGCAATTATAACGTGCAGCACCACGTAACTTAGCCACCGCAGCCAAGAGCCTTCCGTACAAGGCACTTTTCCCCTCGATTATCCGATCTCTCAATTGTAAAATCAACTTTCCTTCTAGAAAGCATATAAGCATATCCAAAGTTCCAAACCAATATGTCCTGCAAATTCATGAACTCAGAATCTGCAATTACAGTTTAGCCAGCATGCATAGCCAATGCCTTGGCTTCAAATGTCCAGACGTACCCAATTACCATTGACTTGTTTCAAGGATGTAGTTAGTGGTACTCTCCGTCTCTCTCCTAGTAGCAGATCAGATCTTGCTCGAGTCCAATCCGTGTCAACATTTGCCAAACGTTTTACATCATCTAACCATCCGAACCGTGGATTAAAAAAAAAGGTCCAAAAAAACAGACCTTTTCATGCGTCCAACCCGGAATCCACTCCACTGTAGCTACCACCAAAAAAAAAAAAAAAAAAAAGCAAGTGGTGAGTAACAGCTGCACTGCCCAAGTTTCAAACAGATTAAAATACAAATGATACACTCTCAGCAACTACTACTGTACATTAGATTAGCTCTATACGAAGTATGGTCCCAAAAATCTTTGGCAACATCAGATTTTCATTCTCATCCAAGTACTAATCTATGAAGGCAACATAACAAGGTTGCTGAACGCAATGCACAATCCCAACAATCAGAATAATGATTACTTAATTTTCAAGATATCAGGATTTTATGAACCTGCAAAACCATATTAAGAAGCAATTTCAGAAGCTTTACTCAAAATTCAAGAAATTTTGCCACCAAAAAGCACATACGGCTTGTGAACTAGTGCACTGACAATCGATAGCAGCACTGAATTTATTGAGATACCAAAACCGAAAAATGCAACTCCATTTTTCTTACAACATCCAAACTTCCACCTGAAAAGAAAAAGATACAATGCGATAAAAGAGAAAAGAAGAAGACAGTGCACTGACAACCAATAGCAGCACTGAATTTGTTGAGACACGAAAACCAAGAAATGCAATTCCATTTTCTTAGAACATGCAAACTTCCACCTGAAAAGAAAAGATATAATGAGATAAAAGAGAAAAGAAGAAGAAGAAACACAAACGAAGGATGCAAAACACGTCAGTACTTCTTGTTCAAACATTCTTGGTGCTACAAAAGGCAGCAGCACAAGGCACACCGTGTAATCTATTCGACCATTTCAACAGATACTGGCAGGTGGAAATGTTATCATCACTCGACAATTCATGTTTTCCTTCATGATATTTAGTCATTTCTACCCTGCGAATGCAAAACATATATTTGCCCCCCCCCCCCCCCCCCCCCCCCACAAAAAAAAAAAAAACTCCGGACAGAAGGGAATAAAGAAATAAAAACTTTACATTTCCATGTCTTCTATAAACCTTCTTTTTTTAAGGTCAATATAAATTAGTTGATGCCCCAGAAAAATAACAGTCAAGGACAGTAGAAAACTCTAAAAACACAAAAGAACACACTAACCTAATTCCACCAATAGACCTGCAACGCTCTCTACATAGATACATAGCAAACAACTAGTAGTCCTTGGTAGTAACCACACACTCTCTTAGCTATCTATCTACATTTGGTCTTCTTCAATTTCTCGTTTATACGAATAAGATGCATTTTATAAAAAAGGACAGTGTATAAGGGATAATAGATATAGAAGAAATAAATTTTTACTTGAAAACCAATACTCACACCCCAGCAGCTTGAAAATTTTTACATCTGTCAATATAGGTCATAAGAAAAATAAGCATAATTATACAGCAACAGCCACTGGCTTATATAAGCATGCCTAGCCTAATAAATGATAAACATATGCTCGGGTAGTCAACGATAACTGCTTGTCAAAGTATTGAGCTGGAAAGAAAAAATCAAAGAAACAAAGTGGATCAATATATCAGCATTTCAAGCATTCAAATACTAAATAAAAACTGGAGAAGTAATGAAAAAAGTTTTGCTTGAAACTTGGGAAACATGAATTATGCAAGGATGAGGAATTATAAGACAACTGGGAAATGCTATTCCTATAACCAAAGGCTTTCCAGGAAGATATCAGATAGCTAAGAGATATATAAACTGTAAGATCTCAAGAAGAGACATCAAAAAAGTATGTGAAAGATTGAGTCACGAAAACAACAGGGAACAGGCTGCAATGTGAGAACCTAAATTGAGGAATGGCACATATGATAATCACGCCAAGTGTTGTTGAGAATGCAACTCCATGACCCTAAATTGAAGAGGCGTGAGTAAGATCAAGCCACAGAAATGATTATCAGAATGTGCAATAAAGATGGAAACTCTGGAATAATACTTATTAATAGTAGAGGCCCTCAATGGAAATGCATTTGCAACCGAAAAGAAACATACATTCTAAGCATAAAAGACGTACCTGAAAATCCACTTCATAAGTGAACACATCTTCAACAAAACAATTTGATGAACAAGCACTTTGAAATCTTTGATTTCGCCAATTTGACCTATTGTTTGCTTCTGGTGGCCACCAAAAATCTACAATATCAGTCCATATACATAATTGAAAATGAAAAGTACTAAAGTTTTCTAACACAAGCAATGCAGGAGCTCAGAATTTGCAAAACAGTGTATTCCAAATTTTATGGAATATAGTTAGCTTTCCTTTTGAAAATGCAATTTAAACACAGTAAATGATAGACATCCATAAATTTGTAAACCAAAGCAAAGCAACAAAATTTGCATAGATAACCAAAAAAAAAACAGATAAAAGTTTCAAGAAAGCTATACCAAAGATAAAGTGAATTGGAGAAGAATCAATAAATTAATCATCAATGTCCAAATGATATTCCATGTAAAATAAATTACAAATTGCAATGGCACAGAATTAATTGACAATTTTACAAGTTTTTGGGACTTCCACCCACAAAAGGCAACTACAATCGGGATGGGGTAGCACATAAATCCAGAGATTGTCTCAGATCCACCCTCAACAGCTGATTTTGAACCAGACTTGCAACGCAGCTATTTGTGGTAGAAAATTCTGCATCCTTCCAAAGCTTACCTGAACATCAGTAAGGCTTACTTTGTTTATTATCTCGTTTGAGTTGAACCTTCAACTTTTTACCTCCTAATTGGTAACCGTTCATCATGTTAATAGCAGATTGTGCAGCTCCTGGTGAGTCATAACTGACAAATCCTGTCAACACAAGAAATTAGAAGCACAACAAAGACAGCTCAATTCAGTTGTACAACAAGTTGAGTTTATACCAAAGCATTTGCTGACACCAGTTGCCTTGTCAACAAAAACTTTTGCACTCAAGACTGTACCAAATGCTTGAAAGGCTTTTGCAAGCTCTTGATCACCAAATTCTTGAGGAATGTGGTAAATAAACAAATTAGCACCAGGTGGACCTGCAATCAACCAGTCTATTCATATATGTGTGGGTGTATATATCTATGTGTGTGTGTGTGTGTATCCATCACAGAATGAAAATCATAGAATACCCAAAAGGCTTTTCAACAAACTAGTTTTTGGGCCCTGCGCCAAGCGCAGGGTAGCCTGTGTTGGGGGTGATGGATTTTGTTGTGTGATTGGGAGGATTTTGTTGATGGAAAGACCAAGACACCCCACGAAGTCATCAGAATTACCATCGAAACCGGCCCATGGTTGCACTGTAGCTATTCCCCCTTCCCCCTTTTATATATTTAAGATTTATTCCATCAGAAAAAACATGGGAGACAATAGAATACTAAAAAGTAGTCCCAACAACCTTCAACTTGATTCCCAGAACTGGTACTGACACTTGAAGATGCTGCAGAAGGGCTATTTGAATTGGCAGGTGGTGCAGAACCAGAAGAACCACTCAAAGGCCTGCCACTCATAATTCCTCCAGGATATGCCATAGGATACTGAACCCCATAAGTGGATCCTACATAATTTGCAGGTGACATGGTATAATTTCTTGGGCCCAATCCAGGAGAAACATCAGGGACTACTCCACGCAAGGCACTTCCTTGGTTCACAGAAGGGATCATATTTGGGAAAGCATGCTGGTTTTGTACCGGTGGCAGGCGATACTGCATGAGTCCATAAGTCCCGGAAGCCTGCAAAGACAACCACTGTCAAGTTAACTGGAGCAGCAATATCTAGCAATCTCTGAAAAGGAAGAATCAATTTGAACACAAACATTAAAACATAAACAGCTATTTAAGAGCTTTCAACAGTCAGCTGAACAATCAAGAATTTCAGTTAATAACCCTTGTAAATAGAAGTAAACCGACCTGATATCCATAGCCATTGTATGGTGGCATATAACCCATTGGTAAAGCACCAAACAGAGATGGATGCTGTCTTGATTCAGCATTTGGCACACTAGAAGCCTGTGACAAAGCTTTCTGAGCCCTCCGAGCTTGTCTTTCTTTTTCTGTATCAGCCCACTTGACTACCAAAGGTACAGACGAACCCTAATACAGAATACAAGTTACGATCAAAATTGTTCAACGGTATCCTTTGAAGAATAAATAACATGACTTGACAGTTTGTTAATGATTGGAAATGTAAAAAAATGTTCAAAATCAAAGCTTTGGAGAGCAGAACTAATCTCTATGCAACTGCAACGGGCAAAAGCAACAAGGACAGAATTCAATAATTCCATTACTTGGTATTGTGTAAAACAAGGTGATAAAGAATTCAGCCAATCGGCTTCGCTGAGCCTTGAATAAATCAAAAAGCTTCACACTGCCATCTCAAACTTCATCCAAGGTAGGGAGCAAAGGTGCAGAGGGATTTAGTGCGACATGGAAATATCCATATAATCAATCTGCTATTGACTGATACCTAGTGGCACAGCTAAGAACATTTTCAAGAAACAAGTGACGAAGAGCTCTTGGATATCGAATGTCACAAATTTCAAAAAGCTAAAGATATTGAGGTTTATAGCCATTAGATCCTGCAGAATTGCTATCAATTCTCGTACATATACGCTTCTTGTTTCAATGCCGCTACAAGCAAGAAACAGAACTCGGAAACAAACACGGAACAAATGTCTTAACCATCGCTCCTGACACTAAAGACTAATCATATGCAAATAGAGCAAGAAATTCATCAATAAGCTCACAACAAAAAGCATCAAAAGGTTTCCTAACTTCCCAAATGCCATTTCATAATCAATTGTTCCTCTATTCATATCATAACTAATAAATTTGCAAGTCTAATCCCAATGGCTACAACGGCTGCTCACAAAAGAATACACATGGCAGTGAACTACATTTAGAAGATTAGAAAAGATTGGTAAATTACACAAACCTCCATCTTATGCTTCCCATTGAGGGCCTCAATGGCTGAAAGCGCTTGTTCTTTTGTTTCATATTTTAGAAAAGCACATCCTACATAATCAATACAACACACAGAAAAAAGCATAAATCTCCTGGCTTGAGAACACCAGTCGAAAACTCCAACTCAGAAAAAATTTAGGTATAATATTGCTATACCTTTACTTGTTTGCTGAGAACCCCTAAGAATTTGCAAGTCTTTGATACTTCCATATTGTGAAAATAAATCAGAGACTTCAGCATCAGTAACATTCTTTGGGAGCATGCCAACAAATAGTTTATGCTCTGTATGTTTGACAAATGTAACATATGCCCAAAAACAGTTACCAATTCAATGAAATGTAAAGGAACACAAAATTGAAACCAGAACAAGTAAATTAATAATAGAAACAATGTGTATAATAATATAAGGACCTAAAACAAAATTATAAGGACAAATATAAAATATCATGGTGGAAAAATGTAATTCACCTAGCCTTTCCAACTCGCCATCAGCATACTTCACTTGCAATGGACTAGATGCCTGAATGAAAAGAGAGCAGGATGCTTTTCTCAGAAACAAAATAACAGTATAATATTCGCAAAGATGAGTGCAATTCCCAAATGAAAATAATCTGTTACACATAAGCACACATGCAGATAGTTAGCATCCATTAGAAAACTGCTCATAAGGTCCAAGCATTACCAAAGAAGAATAAAAAAGGAATATTCAAAGCATGATTCCTGACTACCAGCCTTACCAATCAGGGCTTAATGAAGCCACTTTGATTTTGTGTCAGGAGGAAAACTATCTATAAACTTGATACATCCTTAACCAGAGAAAACCATCCCAGCTAGATATTCTCTAAAATGTCATTTGTCTATCAACTGGAGAGGGGACCTATTTCTGTACATGGATAATAACAGGAGCAAGAAGCTCCTTAGGCAAAATCAAAAACCAAATTCCTGTAATCTGTTCACAAAATTCTCAACCTTTGATGGCATATCCTTT